TCCCATTCCCAGTGGCTATACAGGCAGGAGACCCTCCACTGTTACAGCCAGCTCAGGTGGCAGTTTGGCTCTTGAAGGATCACCACATAGCCAGAAATCAGCTAGGAACACTCTTCTGTAAGCACACCCCATGGTCAGGCACCTGGATGTGGATGACCCCAGACCAGCACTGCTCACAAGGGCAGACCAGTGCTGGGAGGGCTGAGACCAGGAGGCTGCTGCCCACAGCCCCAGAGGCAAGTGCTGCGGCTGGATCTGCTGCCACGTGGCACCAACCACGCTGTCAGCATCGTGTGGCCTGGGGTGCACTGCTGCTCTGCTGGCAGGTACCAAGGACATGGTGGAAGGCTGAGGGGCACATCCTGGCACGCAGCTCAGGCATGCAGCCAAACATTCATAAGGGGCTCAAAACAGATTTGGAATTCTTTTCTTTTTCTCTTTTTGGGGGGGTCTGTGCGCTGTTTTGGTTGTGGGGTTTTCTAAGGGGTTTATAAGGGGATGCGGGTGTGTGTGTGTGTGTGTTTGGTTTAAGGGTTTTTTGTTTCATTTTCTTTGTTGGTTTTGTTTTTTTCCCCCTCACCCCAGAAAGGATGGTGGCACCAAGCATTTACCCCTGAGCCACGCTGCTCCTACTGTGCTGCAAGAGCATGGACTGAATGATGCGAATAGTTCAGGGGTTCACAAGCAAAAACCACCCATAAAACAAGTCCTTGTGCTTGATCCCATGAGACTCCTAGAGGGAACAACATCCATGTAATGAACCAAACAAACACGAGGTCCCTCCTTTCTCCATTTAATAAACTAATTGGTATGACAGCCTGAGTGGCCAGGAGATATCGGAGAATCTTCTCCCTGCAAAGCTGGCACCTCCATTAGTTGTCTCCTTGCCAGCCTGTGTGCACAGCTCCCACACCACCACGCAGCTCTCCAGAAAGCCAGATCCACCCCAGGGGACAAGCTGTTGCAGCAGGCAGAGAGGTCCCTGTAGGATGACACCTGTCCCCTGCCACCCACCCTTGCTGCAATGAAATGAAGCAGAGGAGCAGCACCTGGTTTAGGGGAAGTGGGTGCAGCACAGGGCAGAAACCCATGTGCTGGCTTGGCAGGAGAGGTGAGCAGATACAGCAAAGGCTGGCAAGTGGTGGAGTGCTCCTGCATGCCCATTGGTGAAGAGGGCCAGCATCCTATGGCAGTGGGACACAGCCATGCACATAGCCATAATTGTGTGGTAGGCTTCCATTCCCTGCTGCAGCATGAAACCCTCCCATCTCAGAAGGAAAGGGATGAAGAGGTTTGCTTCCCATGAGCAACCAGCTGCCAGCAGCACCCTGGGGATGATCCTGCTGACAGTAAGCCAACTCACTTACCACTTTGGAGAAGAAAAAAAGCATCTCTACTACAGCAACAGAATACATGGAAAGGAAACTTGGAGTTCGACCGCAGTGAGCTTCCGACAGTCAATGTGCAGATAAACACGCACATGGGGACAGTTTAACTCCAAGCTTGCAACTCTAATGACGCATGAGTCGCTGTTTACATTTGCAATAGAGAAACCACGGAGAAGAGGATTGCCTGGCCCAGCCCTATCACTGGCAATGAAGATGTTCTACAGACAAACTCAACAGCTCCCTCTTTCTGGGACTGTGCAGTTTAAAACTTACTGTTTTCTCCCCGGAAAATCAGTGCAACCAGACACACGGCAGAGCTATTAACCACGGCAAGGCGGGCTAAAGGAAGAGGATCAGAGAATCCTTTACAAAGATAGCATTGCCGTTAGAAACCACATCAGGGAAGCCAAATCCATGGGGAGGAGGATCCCCTTACCTATTTTCCTGGGGATTACACCAGATGGGAAGTGAAGGGAAATACACTTCCTGGATAGCACAGAGAGTCCCATACTTATAAGGAGCAGAAGACTTGCCTCCTCCAAGCCAGGTGATGCTTGGTGAGCTGAAGTGCTGCACCAGGCCACAGGGATTAAATGCTGTTGATCTCTAGCCCTTGACACAGCTTAGCTGCCACCAGCACCTGAGCAGCAGGGCCACCTCTCAGTACATCCCAGCAGGGTGCCAGCATTTCCCACTCCTGAGCACACAGGTGGAGGTCAGGTTGCCCACAGCACTGGCTTTCACACAGGTGATGACCATCCTTAACTGCACGCCTCCATACTCATTCTCATTCCTCCTGCCCCCACAGATCCCTTTGCAGACACCCTTTTTGGATGCTGCTCAGTCAGTTTGGGCCAAAACTTTCCAGAAAAACCCCATCAAAAACACAGTATGGAATGTTTTGCCAAGCCCAGTGCAGCCAGGGTGAAATTAGACTCTGCCTAAAAGAGCACAACAGCAATTGGTAACATCCATGGTGACTTGGAAACCTCCCAGACAGAGAAGTGCTGATCAGACATTCCCCCTGCACACTGCAAGGAGCCTGGGGAGGCATGGGGATAAGGCAGGGTCACTCCCACAGCAGAGTAGAAATGCTACAGAGGAAGCTATTGAAGATAAAGGAAGCAGCCCCACAGTCGGTGCTGGTTTTTAAGAACAGGCTGCTGAGACCAAAAAGCAATTAGGCAAACATAGGGGAAAGACTGCAGCCCAGATCTCCTGTCTGGCTGTATGGCCCCCATGAGCTCCCTCATCCCATTTGGGTGCCTGGGGTTAGGGCAGCTGTGGGTTCTCTGCCTGAAGCCATCGCATTTGTTGCTGGCTTCCACGTATCGCAGCAGAGGGCACAGCCTACTCCACCTTCTGAAAAGTAGCCATCCCACCTTCCAAAGGACCAGATCTCATACCACGTATTGGGCAAATCCAGCTTTGCACAGGAAGGGTTTTCAGCCACTGCTGAAGTTGCTTGCTCTGGGAGAAAAACAAACAAAACCAAAAAAACCCCACAACATTACAACAAACAGCTCTTTAAAGAGAGGGTTTCCCCATGAGGTTTTTGCATTGCTATGCAACATCCCAGGTGGAAATAAACTCCTCTGGGAAGAGCACGAGTTCTGGAGCCTCTGCTCAGCCCCATGGCTCTACCATCTCCTTACCTCCATCCAAGCCAGCCCTCAGCAACAATCTGGCCTCTGCAGAACTCACACAGGCAAGCACCCTGGGCCTCCCTGAGCACCAAAGTGCAGGTGGCAGAGGAGCTAGAGATTAATTTGAGCAGAGAGGCTGGAGGGGGCAGAGAACACAAACCCTCTCCCTCTCAGCCCCTCCCCACCCTTCAGCTTGCATGACCTGTCCTGGAGCAGCATGGATGGGAGCCCTGCTCCCCCAAGGCTTTTTGGAGAGGAAAGACACAGTGTCTGCTTAGCTGTGAACACGTCAGTGCCTTGTAAACGGCAGCCACAGAGCTCCCTGCACTTCAAACTGCTCTTGCAACCGAGCTGGGAGGACGAATGGAGCCCAGGGATGGAACTATAGGCAAGCTCTCCAAAAATGCCTCCTTCCTCTCTGCCTTTGCTTCACAGATCTCAGGAGGCATGTCCCCGCCCAGAAATGCCATTGACACGTGCCCACAGTGACCGCAGAGGGGCAGGAGGACAGGGAAGGATGGAGGCTGCAGCCTCAAAAGCAGGGCAGGGGGGGCTGGTGGCAGGCAGCGCAGGGGAGGCGTGGAGGAGCGCAGCATTAGCTGGGATAATCTGGCAGTCTTGGGGGACACGCCAGAAGCCTATAGATAATCAGGGGAGCCGGTGCAACAGACTTTGAAGTCTGCTGTCAGGTTTTCTCAGCCTGGCTCAGACATCAAAGGCAGCTGGTTACTTACCCCAATTAGAGGGGGAGCCTGCCGGCTGCCTCGCTTCCCCAAGGCCAGCCAGCTCAGCTGCCATCCCCGAGGCATCCTCTTGTGGGCAGAAACCTCCTGCCAGACCACAAATGCCCAAATTCTCCAGCTCCTGCCCGAGCCAGGCTCGCTTTGCTGGGCAGCTCATCTCACAGCTATGTGGGCTTTCACCTTGGGCTTTTGGAGCTGAGTGAGACCCAGTGGATAAATATCTCCCCACCGACGTGCTGCTGAATGAAATCACCTTGCCAGTCCAAGGGATACCAGGGGAATCCTAGCAAAAGTAAAAAAATATAGCAACCTTTTCTCATGGTGGTGGGAAGGACTGCTTCTGTGACTCAAATCCTGCATGTCCTGGGCCCTTGTGGGACATGGCTCCAATGCTCAGCAAGGATAGTCTCCATGAGCAAAACCCACAGCAGCACAGAAAGGCTGTTATGATCATTTTGTACTAAAACCTACAATATCATTGGCACTGGAACAGAAATAAATAATTTAAAAAGCAGCAATTGAAATCTAAGAGCTGGAAACACTCATCCTGTGTAGCTGCAGCTTTCTAGAACTCTGGATGCTCTCAGTAGTGAGTAGCTGGACTAGAAGGAGAACGCTCACAGCTCTTTCTTGATGAGCTGGTGTTTGCTCACATTTGCACCATCCCCTTCATTGTTGGCTTCCACCCATTGCAGCAGGGGGCACAGCCCACCTTACCTTCTGAGAAGTAGCAACAAACCCCACCTTCTAGAGGAAGCTAGACCTCAAACCACATCTTGGGCAAATCTGGCTTTGCACAGAAAGAATACTGCATTTGCACATCATTTCTACTGCAAAAAGAAAAAGTAAAATAAGAACTAGATGAGCCAGGGCACTGCTGAGACACCAAAGTCCTTCAGAAAAGTGGGATGGGTTATTCCTTCCTCATTATCACAGTAGCAGGCAAACACACTTGTTCTGAATCTTCTCTGACAGCAGGACATAAGCCAAGCTTGAGCCACATGCCTCATATCTTATCCTAATAAAAAGTAATCTTTGGTCCTCTCACCCTTATTTTATTTTTTTTTTAAATCTTCTACCCACACAAAAAGGCTGAAAAGCCTCACTCCTTTATAGCCAGAGCTCCACCAGCCTTTGTAGTTTGGGCCAACAGTGTGTTTCTGACATATATCTACTGGACGTCTTACCTCTTTTCAGGCAGCAGAAAGCTCAGGGGGACAGCATGCCCCAGGGGACCAGGAAGGATGCTGCACCAAAGGAGCCATTTCACCTCCTCTCTGTAAGCTCCTGGTAGCACCCCAGGAAGCAGCCAGGGATGCAGCACTTCAGCGAAGAGGCGTTGCTCCGCAGCTGCCCTCGCCTGCACCACATCAGGCCGCGCTCCTGTGGCTGTGGGGCTTGGCTCCAAGGCAGCACAGCCTGCCTTCTGTAAATCCTGGTGCTGCCTCACCACAGGACATGTGGGGCTTCATTGTGTCACTGTGCAATCTGCAGGTGCAGCCCCTTGTCTGGCTCAGCTCCCGTGTGTCACCAGGAGATGCTCCATGCCACCCTCAGACCTCTCTGCATTGGCATCTGAAGCGGCATCAGCATCTTTTAAGCAAGAAGCATCGTGAAAGACTGAAGCAGATCAGCAGAGGGTTGTGCCTGACTGTTTCAGTTCCTGATGGACACAGCAAGGGCAGAGACTGGGGAAGAGAAGAGGGAGGTTAAGAGAGAGGAAGAGGGAGAGGATTCAGGAACTTCTGTTGAGGAATACAGAACAGTATTACATGTTGGGAGAGAAGGTAGGTTTTAATATTAAGCTGCTTATTTAGGTCTCTAAGTTATGGAGATGCGGCACTTCAAAACTAATTAGATTGACAGAGCTTGGATTTGATTACAGGATTTCCAGAAGCATGAGGGTGTAAGAAAAGAAAATTTAAATAGCTGCCCTGGAAATGTTAGCAGGGGAATTAAACAGTCATTGCTGCAGCCAATTGTTAAATACATCTAAGCTGGAAAAAAATGACACTTCCAGCTGTCCAAATTCACTGCACTAGTGGATGCAGCAGGGAGATGCTCTCCTAACATGACTGAGTGGGAGATGCATAAAGGGTGTGTTTCTCAGTCTTAGAGGTAGGCAGAGGTCTCCGACACCCTTCAGGATACAGGTGTCTCCCTCTGATGGCAGTGTGTGAATCTGAAAGCACACAGATTTTTTCCCCACACTGAACCCACTGCAGTGAGCAAAGCATCCAGGAGCTGTAGGCAGGAAACTGTGGGGCTGAAGGGGGAGAGGTGGCAGGTTCCTCAGAGCAGCACAAGGGCCACCTGGGGATACTTTGCCACCTGTCTAGACAGAAAGTCCCATCCTTACCAGCCAGGACACTAAAACGCTGTCTGCACCAGAGGACTATGGCCAATCCAGCACTACAAACAATGTGATTGCTTGGGGGTGATACACAGCTATGCTCCTGAAGGGATAAAGCAAGATAGCAATGGCAGAACTACACTTACAGTTCACCTTGTATCAAAGCCTTCACTCATCTACCTGAAACAACTCCTTCCTTCCCACTACTCCGAGATCATGCAAAAAGCAGTAGTTTCACAAGGTGCAGAGTGAGCCCTTGGCCACCCCTTTTCACAGAGCTAGAGTGACCCTTTTTAAAATCCCAGAGCTGCCAGTTTTAATTCCTCTGGAAGCTCATAAAACATCCTTTATCTGCAAATATGAATCTTCTCTCCAAGAACACATACGCAAGTAAAACTCAAAAACCCAAAGAAGAAAAACAAAAACACAAAGAAACTCAGCTTGGGGCCTGAGGAGTTGCCAGGAGAACCTTGACTCAAAATGTAGTATTAACACGCTCTTTGGCTACCAGACAGCTGTACTTGGCCATGCAGTTTCACCTTCCTTGGGTTTGGGTAAAGCACTCTGGACAACAGCACCCCATGTTGCCCTCATTGCTGCACAAGCACCCCAAGAAAAGAACAGGGTGGAGACAATACTGATGCTGTTGCTGCTGGTATCCTCCATTCACACTAAAGGACCATGTCTTGGCTACAGTCACAGAAAGGCTAAGTTAAAATTACACTAAGCCAAACAAATTTCCTTCAAACAAAAGGCAGGAGCTGCAGTCAACTCCAGGGAAAGCCTGCAGGGTATGCAGCTTTGATTAAACAGAGATGTCAGGAAGAGTTGCAAATATACACACTAGATCTCACTTCTTTGTGCTCAGATTGTCAGTCTCAGTGTGAAAGCAACTCCTCCTTCAGTGTTGCTACTGAAGAGCTTGATGAAGTATGCACCTAGTACTGCAACACAGCAGCAGTTATCTTATTTTTGCCTGACACCTTCACCTAAGAGACCCTGCAGCTTCTCCCCTGCTACTTCCAGAAACTTGGAGAACATCTATCACCCACTAGCATGTGGGTCTCAGTCAAGTCAGGAAGAGGTGACACTCAGATGACTGTGATGCTGCCATCACTGACACAAAAGGGAGGGTTTAAACACAGCAATACCGTGTCCTGAGAGCCATCTCGTTAACACTATACAATCAGGTCGAGGAAAGGGAATTTAATGAATAGTGACTTAGAAAAGAGCTTTCTGGATGGATGCAGGGGTCTGTAGGAGACAAAGAAAGCAGGCATGCAGGCAGGCAAAGACATCTCAGCAAAAACCTGAAATGCTACAGGAAAAGCCATCAGCTTCAAAACGACCTTAACATTTTATTTCTAAGGAAAACGTATCCTTCCGGCAGGCTGGGCACTCAGAGATGAAGGGGCTCTCCCCGAAACATCGGAGCCAGATACTTCCGAGCTAGAGGGAGAGGCTATGCTTGTCATCCCACAGTGAAGAGGTGCTGGTGGGAAGGGAGTGAGCTGAGCAGTGACATAAACCAGTTGTTAAGGTCTGTCTCTGTGGAAGAAAGCCAAACACCTGATAAAGCAGAAAAACAAGTTATCCTTTTCATTGGTGTAAGACTCACCTAATGGCAATGATTTTGCTCGAAATACTTCAAGAAGCCTGGTCACTCACTATTTGTACAGCTACTAGAAGAGATAGCTTCAGAGGGACTGGACACTGTGGATAACACACAGGGACATCAGTATGAGACTTAGTTGACTCCAGTAGTCACATGGCAGAAAAGATGCATGGCTGAAGACTAGGAGCCTGCACAAGGATAAAAATCACAATTAGAGTGGACTGGATCCATCCTGGTAACTGTCATCCAATAACTATTCTTATGCAAAGGCAGGGATGTTACACAACTGAAAAAAACTGACATTAAAATCCATCCTGGAACTGCTTGCACAAGAAGACAAGATATGTGAGAATGGTTGTTACAGAGATCTTGAGGACCCATCATCGTCTCTTGGTTGCATAATGACTACAACTATCTGCTGTGGCTTCCTCCTTCCTTCCCTAACCCATAACTACTAAGGAGCTGCCATTACCTCATTTCTCCCAGGCCCTACATGCCTGGCCAACACTTTTATACATTTATCTTACCTACCTCTTGTCTTAGATAACCTGCACTTTCCTTTACAGCTAATGTTGAGAAATGGGACCTGAAGAACCCTAAATGGGGAGAAACAGGACTAAGAACCTGTAGGTTCTTACTCTAAAACGTATGTTTCAAGTAGGTCAGATAAATTGCATTCTTCAGGTACCTGTTTCTCAAGTCCAGGGTGGCTAGCCTGGGTGTTAAAGATTAATCCTATCACTGTTACCTTGAGAAATTACTTTGTTTCATACTAGGTACAATGTTCAGCACAGTGCTTGCTCGTCTGGAACTGACAGACACTGAGCAGCATTTTTATTATGATAGCAAGCAGCCACCCTGGAGGAAGAGGGTCCAAACCACCTTGTTGAGAAAGAAAATCTGTCCCTTCTGCTTTGGCAAAGGAAATCTGAATGTCTCTTTGGAGTCATTTCCCCATCAGAAATTTTAGTTTTCTTGTGTATTGTCTGGAGTCCTCATGAAGAAAGAGACTACAGAACATTTGTGTGAGTGGTCTCAGCCTTGCAGGTGATCTGCAGTGGGCACTGGGCTGGAGCCCTGCAGCCTC